GAAGGGCCACAGCCGTAGTACAATAGATTACTCTTGTCCGTGGCAAAGTGCAGATTCCAGGAGTTACTCCAGAGCTGCAATGCGGACAAGTCAGACTGAATATAGGCTAAGTTGGGACTACGTTGCCCAGGGGTGGAACAACACACAATTTTAACATCATCTGCGAAAAGGTACGGCTTTCCATACGAGGTTTCGTCGAGGAGATCGTTGAAATAGATTAAGAATAAAAGCGGGCCTAGCACGCTACCTTGAATCACTCCACAAGAAATTGTAGTGGATTCAGATGTATAGTTACCGATTTTGACTACTTGCTTTCTACCCTCGAGGTAGGAAGACAACCAGTCTAGAAGCGAATTAGTGATACCATAGGACATAAGCTTCAGCAGCAATAAATTGTGTGGGACACGGTCAAAAGCCTTTTGGATATCAAGAAATATTACGATGATAGCACTTCCAGGCGTCTCTTGCTCTATACCTTTTCGGAAGCAAGCCAGTCCTTAACGGAATCAAGCTCCTCCTTAAGAATATTCAACCCAATTCATAAACACATCAAGCTGAGTCCATCGCCTTGACCAATTGCAAATCAGTACAAGTGTACTCAGAACGTCTGCCTCGGTTGGTGCAGCGCTCAGCCAAAAAACCACGTGACGCACAGTGAACGCGAAAACAACACGTGAGCTCATTCACTGTAGGATGGGTGCGGACTAGCACGCGGCATCTATGGACGGTTGAGGAAGTACTGTAACTTCCACCCACTCACTTACGCGGCATCAAGACACACAACGCAGAAGTGGGCGGCCATCCGCGTGCTCACTGTTACGCGCAGACGACCAGACATGAAATCTACTCTACAACGAGACAGTATCGATTGCACTGGGTAGGGTGAAACACCGTTTGACTGAAGAGATTAACCTAGGGAGTGACCGAAAATTAAGTTGGTTGAAACAACCGACAGTGACATTGCGCGGTATGTTGTTCTAGCTCGGGTTTCAGTCGGAAGTAGGCACTGGAGAACATGATGTTATCATTAGATCGCCAATGTCCACTATGTTGTACATAGTATTGGCAAACTCCAGTAAATGGCCAAAAGTTGTTGGTATCAAGTGGATGGCACATTTTGAACACAAAAGTGGATAAGAAAAGCTAGTTTGTGAGGAATCGGAAATCGCCCACCATAGAGTAGCACATCGCCATTCCTTGACTGTTCAGTTTGCAAGAATGATTAGCTTCCGAACCGATATATCGTCAACCGACGGACACAGATGGGACACAGTACTACAATTCCGATCTCTGTGTTTCACAGATAAGGCCATGTGCACAGAGAAGGAAGTAGACAGTAAGGTAATTCCTGGATAGTGGACACCCGAAACCGGTAGTGGAAGCCACGTTTCACAATATGCTGAAATCACATAGAAGATATACAGCGGAATGGATTGGAACGATAAGAATATTAAAGGTAGAAGGAACAACCATTTCCTTTCGGTCAAGGAATCAGCTGACTGCAACGAACAAAAATACTCGCTAAAATCCTTCTACTCACAAGGAATAAAACTCGGGATCTGTTCAACAATGGTGTATCTGAAATACACACTTTTCGTAGATAAGATGACTAACGGTGTTCACAAATGTATTCACAATAACTGTGAATATGTGTGTATATGAGATACCGCGAGCGAACTGCACACAACGCTGCTGGAACACCTGAGGCGCATTTCACGGTGACGTCTAATGCTCTACTGTGAGATTCAGCGGTGGTGACGCACCTGTTAGGTACGGTGCATGTAAGGTGGCCAGATTATTGATGAGCCAAACCGAGACGCTTCCAGATTTCTTGCACGGCAAACCGAAACATTTAACCTACCCCCGTTTGTTTCTGCATATGTTGATCGTACAATATATTGAAAAGATACATATCTACATTTCTTGCTTCAATGCAATTATAAACACACTTGCGTTATTAGTCAGTACAATGGCTACGCTACTGAAGTTTTAAGTAAATAAATAAATGGAATATTCCCGCTAGAAGGAGGCATACAAGTGAAGGCACGACTAAATATACCTACAAACATAGCTGCTTTGGAACAGTAAAAGGTGTGGTTAGAATAAAGTACAACCAAAATTTTCGTCGTTTACTCACTTAAGAAGTTCGTGGATTAATATTGGGATCCCAAAACATTATGGCGCTGGTTTGTGAAAAAAGCAAGTTTATTACTATGGTGGCAATAGCCAACGGTCGGCATGATTTCGCCATGTTGTAATCCATGATTTCATGAGCATAGGTCTGGGCGCTGCATTACCATGTCGTGAAGTTGTTCGCAAGGATACAGGACACTCTTTTCTTCAGAACTACATTTCACCACAAGTATTGCTTTCAGTGTTTGACCGCTAAACTGCGTTGTCCAGAATCTACTTCGATTCAGTTTGGAAAAATGTATAGTGCTGCGTCTGAGGCACAAGTTGGTTCATTCTCACAAAATCGGCAACCAAAGCTGCAAACGTCTTCTGGGAAGATGGATGTGGGAGTTTTATCCAGTTTGAACTTGGATGTTTGAATCAGACTGAGGCGGCCTAAAGGAGGGGCGTCCAACACGTGGGCCTCCTGAACCATGCACTCGGACGAATCGACCCTGCGATTTTTCCACAATTTCTCGGCTCATACATACCATCACCTGTGGAATACGTAGTACAGTTTCGGCAGACATGGATGAGAAGAGATATCACCGTCGTGGAGATATCTCAACGCCATGCAACCAGAGGCGTCAAGGGTCTGTATAATTTGCCGTATGCACGAAGGATTCGAGTGCTTGGGGTCTTCAGCGGACAATATCGGCGATTGTGCGGAAACCTCATTTTGGCTTACCATATTTTGAGAGCTCTTAACCACAGGTGCCGCCATTTGCTAGAGCTCATTCACTAAGCGCAATTTGAGAGGCCACTATATCAAGCTGGCACAGTAGCAAACTCGTTTAGAATACCGTCGGAAAGGAAATGGTAGTTCCTTCTACCTTTAATATTCTTATCGTCCCAATCCATTCCGCTGTATATCTTCAATGTGATTTCAGCATATTGTGAAACTTGGCTTCCACTACCGGTTTTCGGTGTCCATTATCCAAGAATTACCTTACTGTCTACTTCCTTCTCTGTGCACATGGCCTTATCTGTGAAACACAGAGATCGGAATTGTAGTACTGTGTCCCATCTGTGTCCGTCGGTTGACGATATATCGGTTCGGAAGCTAATCATTCTTGCAAACTGAACAGTCAAGGAATGGCGATGTGCTACTCTATGGTGGGCGATTTCCGATTCCTCACAAACTAGCTTTTCTTATCCACTTTTGTGTTCAAAATGTGCCATCCACTTGATACCAGCAACTTTTGGCCATTTACTGGAGTTTGCCAATACTATGTACAACATAGTGGACATTGGCGATCTAATGATAACATCATGTTCTCCAGTGCCTACTTCCGACTGAAACCCGAGCTCGAACAACATACCGCGCAATGTCACTGTCGGTTGTTTCAACCAACTTAATTTTCGGTCACTCCCTAGGTTAATCTCTTCAGTCAAACGGTGTTTCACCCTACCCAGTGCAATCGATACTGTCTCATTGTAGAGTAGATTTCATGTCTGGTCGTCTGCGCGTAACAGTGAGCACGCGGATGGCCGCCCACTTCTGCGTTGTGTGTCTTGATGCCGCGTAAGTGAGTGGGTGGAAGTTACAGTACTTCCTCAACCGTCCATAGATGCCGCGTGCTAGTCCGCACCCATCCTACTGTGAATGAGCTCATGTGTTGTTTTCGCGTCCACTGTGCATCACGTGGTTTGTTGGCTGAGCGCTGCACCAACCGATGCAGACGTTCTGATTACACTTGTACTGATTTGCAATTGGTCAAGACGATGGATTCAGCTTGATGTGGTTATGAACTGGGTTAAATATTCTTAAGGAGGAGCTTGATTCCGTTAAGGACTGGCTTGCTTCCGAAAAGGTATAGTCACATACTCAAGGTAATCTTACTGGCAGGTAGTGCACGACCTACCTTTCAAAAAACCGTGTTGATGTTTACTGAGAAGGCTCATAGAAGTCAAATATTCTATTATGCATTCTTTAACTATCCTCTGCATGATTCTGGAAATAATAGATGTGTGGTGGATTGGGCGGTAATTTTTTACATCTTGCATAGATCCGCTTTTGTGCCTTGGTATTATAGTTGATTGTTTCCAGTTTATAGGATACTCCCCATTGAGCATGGAAAGCGTAAATACATTAAGCAAAAACAGGGGGATGTCTGGACCTCCGTGCTTTACCAGTATTGGAGGGATGTTGTCAGGGCCTGGTGAGCATGACGGCCGAACTAATCTGAGTTGGCGACATATGTCACTAAGTGTAAATTCAACAGTTTGCAGTGTATTACTCCCTCTGTGTATCAGCTTGAGCTGAGAATCATCTTTCGCATTAGCGCCATAAGTAGACATAAAGTAGTCATTGAAGATCGAACATATGATTGCACCGTCGGTTATGGCAGTTCCATCAGAGTTTACAATGGTGTTTATACAACTTGATTTTCTATTCTGCCTACGGTCCAAAAGTTTTGAGATGCGGCCTACCACATTTGAGTCCTTCAGTGCCATTACTTCCTCAGAGCATAGCATTTTGTGGTGGTCTTGGTATAACGCTGTAAGCAATCTGGTGTGGAGCATCAGCAGAGTAAAATCATTAGTTTTCCTTAATTTTTTTCTTTATTTTATATAGTTTAGTGGCTACCTTTTTTGAGATACCTGCAGGAGCAGCAGTCCTTTTCAAGAAACATTATTCATTAGTTAAATATGTATCACATGACCGTAGTACAAAATAAAGCATCTTTTCGCAAAAGCGATGTGTGTCTCTACGTAGTCGAGTCGGCAACTCGGTTTATAAAGCAGCTGTTATTTGACATCAAACTTGGAGTGAGATTGGATCCAACAAGAAAATTATCTGCATACGTCCAGAGATGTCAAACCATCTACTGACTCCGTTCGGCATTGTGCAACGCATAAAAAGCACCTTTGGAAGCCATTAAGGCTGCCGGTGGACCAGTCTCAATCTTTCGGCCACTCTCAAGCACCACAATCAGATCGGCGTCTTGCACAGTTGTCAGGCGATGAGCCACTACAAGTGATGTCCTGGACCCGATGACACTATCTAGCGCCGCTTGAACAATTCTTTCACTTTCATTATCCAGCGCAGAAGTTGCCTCGTCCAACAATAATAGGGCTGGTTTGCGCAACAACGCACGAGCGATGGCGATTCGCTGCTTTTGCCCTCCAGACAACTGAGTTCCACGCTGTCCCGCCATCGTCTGATAACCCTGAAAATTGAGTGCAATAAGACAGGGGATTTCAACGGGGTTTGATTGATGATCATCCGTGATCAAGTCATAATCGTCAAACAAAGATTGTGATTAACCGGATCCACCGAAGGCTCGAGAAGCCCAATGGTCTAGTGCTAAAGAGGTCAGCCGTCAAATAGTATGTAGTAGGTGCCATTTCCAGCCACAGCCATCTCTGATTGGACAGTTCAAACAAAGACGAGATGGGTTTGGTGATGCATTTTGGGGAGGGGGGAGAAGCAACAACAGGATCAAATCTGCCAACTGCTAGGCTTCGGTTTGCAATAAGGACGCACGGGTGACAGAAACGCAAGCAGTGAGCGATATGCGTGAGTACATGATGAATGGTTTATTGACCTCACATTAAAGCCAGTCAGTTTGCCATGATGCGAGTCCCAATCGCCATTTGAGGGTCGACTGTAACGGCGCATTTACACCCTTAGCCATCAAGAGATTGCTAGAACGTCGGAGGCGATAGATGTGGTAGCGAAGTGAAATATGTAACACTTACTTCAGGAAGCGTACAAATGAAATCATGTATATTTGCTTGGCGGGCGGCATCAATGATCTCCTCCATTGGGACTTCACGGGTATTGTCTCCGTAGGCAATATTCTCAGCCAACGTCAAGTCAAAAAGATTTGGCTCTTGTGATACGATACCGATTTGGTGGCGAATCCAGCGAGGCGCCACCTCACGAAGATTCCATTCATCAAAGAAAACACCGCTTTCCGGTCCGTGGTCCGATGGATCGTAGAAACGTTGCACGAGTTGCAAGAGAGTTGACTTTCCGCACCCAGACTGACCAACCAATGCAACCGTCTGACCAGGATCGACCGTGTGAGAGAAGTTCTAAACAAGAACATGAGATGGTAAAACACCGATCAGTGATGGACATCAAAGCATCGAAATATTCATGTTCCACCTGATCAACAGGGAACACTATATATTTGTCATTATGAGGTTAACTTGGTGAAAAGTGTGGTAAGACTCGAAATAATTCAAAAGCAAACTTTCTTTATTTGAACTACAAGCAATTTAAACCAGTGAATTTAAGTGAAAGGTCGCTTGTACTGAAGGCCAAGTGGTAGCAAGTTGCACTTCTAAACTTCGCATACAGTTGTGGGGCACCGAAATTCGGATGTATTCTAATATTATTTAAGTTGGTAGTAGCTATACTGTGCACCGGCCTCCGCATCATACTCCTGAAGAGGGACAGTGACACCACATACGTGGAATATAAAGATAAGAGATGGGAAATACGCAGAAGTGCACAAATGCTGTTCATTAAATGACGTTTCTTGTTCGCTTAGAGAAATCATTTTGAAAGTCCTGACCTTCGTGTAAAGATGCTACTGATGAACCGAATGAGGATATTTCCGATTCACATGTAATTTGGTACTTCTGATCTCATTTTTCAGTGGATAGCATTCCAGTGGTGGAAGAGCGGATAATGAGTTTAGAGTGGACTGACGCATCAAGAGTGAACCGGACATGCACTTTTGAAATGAGAGTTGCTCACCTTTAAAACTCGAACTTCAGTTCTAGTAGGGTAGCTGAAGTAAAGATGCCTGAATGAAACTCGTCCTTTGAAAGGAGTGGAAGGTATAATACCCTTGTCATGTGGTATTTGTGAAGGACGGTCGATGGTAGCCAGAATACCCTTTGCAGACGCCAATGCCTTCTTAGCATCCGGTCCAAATGCGGCGGATGGGCCCAAAGAATGCGCTCCTATCTCCATCACAGAGAAAGTACTACAAGGCGGAGGGGGAAAGATAATGGAATCTTCGTTCTGTTATGCCATTTCAAGAAGAGTTCAATTTGTTTCATTAAGTAACCTGGAAGACTGTGCAAAACCTAGCAAAAATTCGAGACTGCTGGACGTGTGAGATGTAGGGCAGAGTACACAGCGAGCACTAAGTGATGAAAGCAAACAGATTAGGGCCCATGTTACCCGGGCCACTGTCGACCTCAACCATTTGCACAAAAATAAACATGCCTACGGAATAGTGCACTAGTCGCGTAATTCATTCTACCACAATTAACCCAATACTAAAAATGCGTTCACTGTATTTAAAATATGCAACCAAATTAATAGCAAGAACATGTATGGTATCATGGAACTTCGGGAGGAGGTTACCGTTTGCCTCCGCAGGTGAGGCGCATAAGTACGTGCGCGGGTGCATGCGGATGTGCTACCGATTTTTAGCAGTTGACAAACTGATCTCCTGGTTGATGGGTAAAACGTATTAATAGAGAACTGTTCCGTAGTGCTAGGAAAAGTCGACTGAGCGCTGTCGTAAATCAGCACCACCAGCACTACAATTCGGTTAGTTCTTCTAGTTGTGGTGAACGGGCTAAAAGACGCGTAACCAGCCAGTATTACTGGTCATAGTTGTAATGGTAATGAATTCTGAATGCTTCTTCTATGTGCTTGTGAATAAATTACAGTCTCAAACTCAACGCACGGTCTTAAAGATCGAGGAATTTCTATTCCATTTACAAGTAGTTTGGGTTGAGGAAAGCGCTTTGTGATTGAGTGTATTCACTTGGGCGTTAGGCGTTTCATGAGTCTTTAGGTAATTGTGTACTTTCAACGGGGGTAGACTGTTCATCCCCTTCGTGGTAGACGAGATACATTGCATTATTGAGGTTGCAAGAATGGCTCATGCGTGTCATACACAATTTGCCACCGTTTATATTAGTTTGGACAATAAAAGAATTATATAACAAAACGCCTGCTTGTTCATGGTAGCATGACGAAGCATAAGGATGAAGACAAGGCAGAACAACAAGATCGTCCTGATCATCCTGCAGTCGACCCCCAGCAAGGCATCCAAAATGTACTAATATGTTAAGACTAAGAGCAAAAGGTTGTCAACATTTGGACACTGCTTTCATTAGAATAGTCGGAAGCTGCTAGTAGGTAATTTGCAGCGTTATATTAATGCAGCGATATGACTCAGACGGTACATAGACCCAACCAGTAAGTTGACTATTGTATTACAACAGACTACGGAAAATGACCAAATGACAAAGTTGGTCGCTGCTACCAACGAGCTAACAACCAAGTAGTTACCGAGCATAATGATGGACAACAATGAAGTCAAGGACCACAATGTGACGGCAAAATATTCTGTGCGATATATTATATTGCTGCAGAAACATAAATCTATAGCACAATAAAAGGTCATGTTAACCTCACAAAAACGTTTTCAAATCTGAACAGCACACGAAGCACCTCATAAAACTGGGTGTCGGGACACTCACCGGAAAACGTTCAACACTGATAGCACCCGTTTTTCTATGAGGTAAGCGCCCAGTGCAAACACTGCGCCGAATGACAATGAGCCAATGGATTGTGTCAAGGAATAAACCAGAGCGAAGAACAAACATTGACGAACTGTGGCTCTGTGAATAAACGGATTGAGCATAAAATTAGGCATAACAACAGCCTCAAATTGTCAACTGCTGAAGAAAAATGAGAAAATGCGGTTTCCATTAAATATTCCCTCGTTAGCTATCTGATGACTGGTATGGAACTGCCCAAACTCAACACCTTCTCCTACCTTTAAAAAATAATGGTGTGAAACGTCAAAGGTAAATTGCGTGACAAGTCCCGTCAGATGGCCAGAATAAGAAAAAATGAAGAAAGGAAAACATGGCTTAAAACGTTTCAGTGGAGGGACTATTTGGTTCACACAGTGACATGAGTTAATAGCCTGCATCATCTGTTTTGGTCAAAGCTGGTTATGCACCCTTTTTTAGCATTATATCGTCTATTGAGGTACATAGGTTATATTTCGTTATGTAGGTGGTTTATGGCAACATCCAGGCGTTTTTACACTCAGAGAAAGTGGTAGCGGAAACAGCCTAAGTTGGGTGGGTGTTTCATGGTTGACAGACACAGTGTGAATGCCTCGTTAACATTCCAACCGATATATTGCGTGGCCAGCTTGAACTGGTGGTCCCTCAAATTCGTGTTGTGCTTGATCTACCTTAGGTGACGACAGACATGGTCTGGGTTTCTGAAAATCTGGTAAGTCATTATTGGATCGCCATGTATGTGTCGATACTGACCGCTGTAGAATTTAAAAAATCCTCAGCCTAAGTCAATGTGGAAGGTTGTACATCCCTTTGACGCTGCGCTGTGGTGTCTCGAGCGCTGCAAAATCTTTATGCGCCTGAGATGCCATTACTGGATAACGAATTTCCTACAAAGCCGCACGTGTGTTAAGCCAATGTAGACAGACTGGAGGAACAAAACGCCCAAATGCCCCGCACAGATCTTCAACGTGCTGGTGCCCAGTCTTTAACGCTTTCTCAGATAGTTCTGGGCAACTAAAATCCGTCTGGATCAGTACGCCAAAGTCATGGTCGTAGGTGACCACTTGGGGTTAAAAATCTCAAAGCACGTATGACGCTGCGCTGTGGTGTCTCGAGCGCTGCAAAATCTTTATGCGCCTGAGATGCCATTACTGGATAACGAATTTCCTACAAAGCCGCACGTGTGTTAAGCCAATGTAGACAGACTGGAGGAACAAAACGCCCAAATGCCCCGCACAAATCTTCAACGTTCTGGTGCCCAGTCTTTTACGCTTTCTCAGATAGTTCTGGGCAACTAAAATCCGTCTGGATCAGTACGCCAAAGTCATGGTCGTAGGTGACAACTTGGGGTTAAAAATCTCAAAGCACGTACAGTCGAACCCGTTTTCTTGCCCACCATCGGGCTATTCCAAAAGTGGAGGAAAACCAGCGTGGGCAATTAACCGATAATTTCCCAAAAGAGAAACAACCATTAAATTATAGTACAGTATATCAAACATCGTAACGTGCTAAGAAAGATAAAAGACGTACTTGTTACCAAAGCCTACAAAAGACGTTTATTCAGAAGAGCATGACCTATAATTTTAAAAAATATAACATAAAACATCTTACCTGGATAGTTATAGCAACTGGCGCTATTGTATATTTTTGCTCAGAGAACAGTTCAACGTCAGTTGCATATTATTTAGTGCAGGTACCCCAGTCAATTTTGCTCTGATGAAGTCCAATTGGGATAAGTAATTGTTGCTTTGCCCACACAAAAGTTTGCAGCTACACAGATCATACACATAATTATGTGCTCCTGAAGGCGACATGCGCTGATTGTTGTTACTCACCGGCCATCCGTCACGTTATCATCTGTGTCGCTGCCTTCTTTCCGTCCTAGTCGGTTCTCTAACATTTTACTGACGATTTCATCGTCAACGGTTGCCAGATCTGAGGTAAATTCCACATTGTTGTCAATGGCGACGAACCCTTCTGCGTTCACGACTGGGATTGTGCAAGCGTTGATCTCGTCTTCAGCGATGACGGCTTCATCAGAAAGTGCGGCGCATTCCAGTCTACTGAAATCAGCATGCCGAAAGCGCGCCTGTATTCTCGCTCCATTAACCTGCCCCCAACCTGTTGTAAGGAACTTAATTGCATTGTGCACAGAAATCTTGGTGTTGACATCGACCGCCGATGATGAGGCAAATAACATGTTTTCGATGTGATAAACAATTCGATCCACCATTTCCCATCTGTAACGGATTTTTGAATTCATAATAATACCTTGGTCCATGGGTTGAAGAATGTTGGACGTGTTTGCCTGCAAAATTTCATTTGTAAATTTTGCATGCATTTTACCTATGGATGTGCTGTACGATTTTCCTAGAGCAACATAATTTTTCGGCCACATTGGTCTGGCTCGTTTTTCCATTCGAGGACCCACTCGATAAAGAGTGCTTTCACTATCCCCGCATTTTTATCAGCTTTGTAAGTTACGGGAAGTGCGACTACATTTGCGCTATTAAAATATCGTGGTTCCGTAATTTTCCAATCAAAACTAGTTTTCCTTTGTCCGCGCCTGACCTATTCGTGCAGTACAGAAAATGATTTTATTCATGGCTTTTTCGATCTGCTGATCTTGTTGGCAGCCAACCATGAAGAACACTCTGGAGCTTTTCGGTAAAAAGACCTGATTCGTCTGCACTGTACATGTTATCACCATAAAAGGTATTTAGAAGTTCAGGCAGTCAACATTTCAGTCAATTTTCACAGACTGCGCTGTCCGCAGAACACTTTTCAACAGGAGCAAGCTTCTACACAATTAGAGTTCTATTCCTCCATCTTTGCAACAGTCTTTCTGTAGCAGCACAAATGTTGCCAAGTGCTTACCCGAATTATGCTGCCTTTCTCTTAAGAAACTGGCCTGTAACTGTTTGATTGTGCCCACGGATTGATATCATCTAGTCTTTCAACGCAGTTTCAATTTCTTCATCTTTTCCACATCGCTTCCTTTTCTGAGAGCTTGAAGTGCCCTGCGACAAATGCTGTCGGGTTTTCTTCTCTCTGGCAATCAACCTGGCTAGGGTACGACGATAAATGTGTGAATCACTCGATATCTTGATCTGCGGGGTTCCTGGTGGGTATGTTTTTATTTGTCCAAAACGTCTAACTTTTCCGTCAGGAACAAATCGTTTCTTTTACTCGGCATACTTGTGTGTGACCAGTGGAGTAGTGACAGATATGAAGGGGAAAGTTTGCACGACTTCGCTCAAATCTTTGGTTTTGAATAGGGCCGAGGGTTTCCCAACAGCCGTCTGTACCTTCAGGCTTGGTAGTGTATTGAATGACGCAGGTAACCTTTTCTGATCTGTCAATAACGCCTCCGATATCCTTTTGTTCGTCTAGATCGGACTGGCAACGTAATTAAGGAAATGAAATGTAATTGACAAAGCAACAATAGCACAGTCCACGGAGCGTTGCAATTAAGCGTTGGGACGATCCGTAATGAGCAATTAGACTGTGAAAATTTAGCATATTTACAGGGAAAGAATTTTATTTTGAAAAGCTGGCGAATAATGTGAAATGGGCTATTTACCTGGTGGGCAATAAATCGGGTTTGACTGTATACGAAAATCTATTGATGCCAAATGTGAACTACCTTCGATTTGGACGAATTAATCTGACGCAGATTGTGGAACGATGATACATATGCACTAGGCTCGGCTACGCCAGACATCACTTTGAACATTGTTTGGTTAATTACGATGCACAGCGCTTGGAAGGTAGTACATTTGCAATGTGTCACGAATCTTAACTATTCCGTCGTAGTCACAGCGTCCATGAACTGAAGCAGTACGCAACAACTGCTGTGCTAGACAAGTGAGCGTAAGGAGTCACTTTTATTCTTCTTCGCTTCAGCACATCCAGGATGCAACAACAATGAGCAGGCACGTGGGGTATATGATCTGCAGGCTTATCGGAGCAAAGTTTCTGTCTTCGGTAACCCAATTCATGTAAATCGCTACCGTGATATTACGTTACAAGGTACTGGAAGGCGCTCCTGGGGCAGATGTTACGGAGTTTTGCCAGGAGATAATGCTGTAGATATATATATATATATATATATATATATATATATATATATATATATATATATATATATATATATATATGATAGGAACCTCGTCCATTTAACATCCGGACAAAGTCCCTTTAAGATAACCTCTAAAACCCCCACTGACTTGTGGGTCAGGCTATTGAGCCATAGGCTCCGGATGGAGTCCCTCAAGCAAACCTCCGAAGCACAACCATCACCTCGGGTGCAATTGCCCACCAATGAAATCGTATGCCTGCGCGCAAAGCACTCAGCATCTGATGCCGGAATGTGAGCGCCCTAATGGAATGGAACGCGAGCGCCATGTGAGACGCACTGCACTGGTCGCGATGGAAATGGGGCACAAGCACATCGATATTGCGGCGCTCAATGAAACCCGGCTCGCTGAGCAAGGTATATTGCATGAAGCAGGTGCTGGCTACACATTCTACTGGGTGGGCAACGACGCCTCAGCACCACGTGATCATGGGGTCGAATTTGCAATATCCGATCGCCTCCATGGCCAACTCATGTGTGAAACTACAGGCATCAACGCGCGACTAATGACTGTTCACACACGACTCGGAAGAGGTAGGTTTGTCAACTTTATAACCACGTACAGTTCGACGATGTGTTATCCTGATGACGCGCGTGAGCAATTCTACACCCAGCTCTCCTGCGTGATACGGTATGTGCCGAGGAGCGACGCGACTATATCTGCTGAGTGATTTCAACGCGCGCGTTTGACGTGATGTACCGGTGTGGACAGATGTTATCGGTCCGCATGGCATTGGTTCAACGAATGCGAACGGTGGCAGGCTGATCTTAACGTGTGCCGCTCAGTTGCTGCACATGTGGCAGATCCCAGTGACTTTGGGAAGAATAGAAATCTTCGCAAACGTCGAGGACGACAGATCCTAGAGCTACTTCGCATTAAAAATGCATAGTGAACGGAGAAGATGAGGCATATAGGATGCTACGCCGAACGCCGCCAGCACAAGGA